GAGCTGTCAAAGTAGGCAAGGGCAGTTGAGGATGATATAGAAAGGATTTAGTCCTATTCTGATGGGAAATTAGATGACTTCAGAAGTTTTTTCATGGGGAGAAAGGGGTGTAGGGTTAAAGAAGTACAAATTAGTTGTTGATGGATGGTCACGGGGATGGAGAGCATGGCATAGGGAATGCAGTTAGCATTAATATGTTGGCTAGGTGGAGGGCCAGGGCAGGAAGGGAGCAATTGGGGGTATCATTTTATGAACTATATAGATGTCTAACCAATATACTGTATGCTTGAAACTAATTAAAATAAATTTTCAAAAAAATTCCATATTCTTATTTACAAACAGGTTGCTACCAATTTTTTACTACTGTAAAATTTATAGCAGTGAACATTCTTGAACATTTTGCCTTGTAGTAATGATTCTCAATGATGAGGTGTTGGGGAATACATTTTGTTCCCTGGATTAGAGACATTTTTGGTTGTCATAATTTGGGAGAGGAGGGTGTTACTGGCATGTAGTGTAGGTAGAGCCATGGGCACTGCTGAACATCCTTCATGCACAGGATATCCCCTCCACACACACACACATCAAAGTTCATAATGACAATAGTGGTGAGGTTGAAAACCCTACTCTCTTTGAGGAAAATTGCTGGATAATAAGTTACGCCCACCTTCAACCTTCTGCCAAAATGTTCTACAAAGTGTTACAGATTTTGACTCATCTATCTTTTTACTTTAAGTAGTTTCTTTTAATTTATTTAAATGATTGTAATCTTCTTGTATTATAATGAAGATATTGTTCTGTTTACTTTAGGCGTGGCATACATGGAATGTTCCCCCTCCATCTGGCAGCCTTAAGTGGGTTTTCGGATTGCTGCAGGAAACTTCTTTCTTCTGGTAAGTGGAACCTTCACAGACTGATTCTCTTGTTTTTGTCTCCCCAATCCACCCACCCTCATTTTAATGCAATTTTTTTATCCTGCTCTTTCAAAATTACATATAGATATCTCCAAGCGTGAATCATTTATTAATCTCTCTTACATGATGTTTGGTCCTTTAATTTTAAAATTTGGTTTTCTCTTCTGCTCTGGAAGGGTTTTATTTTTCAATCAGTGATTACCTTCTCTCAGTTGGGGAATGGGACGTGGAATATTTCTAGAGCAGCTTCTGTTTATTGAATGGTAGTCTTGGATTGTCCCTTTAAGTCTAGAAGCAAAATATCTTCATTTGCATGCTTCCTTTTTAAGAGCTGATAGCCATCCTACAATATCTTCTAGGTTTATGAAATTATTTATTTCATATTTAATTACTATTTTAAAATACCATGATCATAGTCTATTTGAGACGAAACAGGATCAATAGCTTTCTGTAAATTTTACTATAAAATCATGGTCCTTATTAAATGCATAGGATTACTAAATATATAAGATTTAATTGATTTTAAATGATATTCTGTTTCTCAGTGTTGAACACATTTTGTATATTAATACTAGTGATTGCCGAAAGAATTATTAATACTTGTGATGGCTGAAAGGAAAACTAGTGAAAATTAACATTGTGAGACACTTCCGAGTTTTTCTTAAATGGTATTTTTTGAGCGAGTTAATTTTGTTTTGAGTTTTTAAGGTGTGTGTTTCCACAAGTATTTACATAGCCATTTATCTATGAAAGAGAATTCTAAAATCTCTTAGCATTAGTAATAATTCACAGATAGCAAAGCACCTATGGCTTTTTAAAAAAAGTGTCATGCCCATTTGTAATTCATAATTTTGTTTGAGATCGGGTTGTGTGACTCTTGACATAATACTTTATATAAAGTAACATATCTACAATATTATATAAGATGTATTCATTCCTATAGGATTTGATGTAGATACCCCAGATGATTTTGGCAGGACCTGTCTACATGCAGCTGCAGCTGGAGGGTATGTTAACTGAATTTTTAGTGTTTTAAGAGAAGGGTAAGCTGGTCATGGCAATTTTTCTCTTATTTTTGTTTCTCTTTATTAGTGCCAAGTGAGCACAAAATAGAAAACAAAACATAACAGGAGTGGTTTGGAAGAAGAAAGTCCAGAGTAGTAGAAATTAATTTTTTAAATCCTCTTCCACCTAAGTCATAAGCTATGAGTGAGAGAGAAAGAACAAACCTACAAAAGGAAGTATGGCTTTAAAAAAAAAAAAAAAAAGTATTGCTTTCTGTAAGAGAAAATCATTCCTGGATTAAAAAAAACATGTATTTCCTCAAATGAGAGCAGTAAAACATGGGGACTGTTCTAAGTAATGTTAATATTCTTTGAGAAGGTGTTTGGGGTTTTTAAATCATGATTTCAGGGGGAAAAAATGTTGGCATCCTCTTTGTGCCTTGCCTCTACTCAGGACTAATATATAGGAATGAAAACGTTGACATTGGAAGATTTTAGACAAAGTTTTAAATATTTCCACTATGAGAAATGAAGCAAGTGGTTTGAACAAACTCCGGCTAAAACTCTTGGTCTTTGAAGCATGCTGCTAATCTAATGCTTCTGGTAATTTAGATCCTACATCTATGATAAGCCATTGAATTCGAGATGACTTATCAAAAGGACGTTTGCCAGAATTTTATTTCTAATAATAATTCCTTAAAAATTACTGGTGATTTCAGAGGACAAGTGTGTTGAACCAAGACTACTACTAGGACAGTCTCATCTGTTGAGATGGATTGTGAACATGTGACTGGGTCCTCTTGTTCTTTCAAAGTCACCAAAGAACCTTCTAATTAAAACCTACCTTTCATGTTACTTGCCTACAAAGAGAAAGACGAGAGACAACATGAATGTCTGATTGCTTGGCAGTTACAGTTTTCATTGTAACATAGTATGTTAATATTCAGGTTTATAAAAATTAAATTACAAAAATACCCATACTCTCCTACAGTTTTAACTAAGGATATATCTAAGTCAGCAATCATGTATAGGAGAAGATAAGAGAAAGCTAACTCGGGAAATTATCTGTTTGTTTTTTTTTTTAACCCATTTTCATTTAATTTAGTATTAAAAACCACTTAAGTTTAAACCATTCAATTATAAGCATGTTGCTCAAAGTTTATTTTAAAGATTCCTAAAAACTCTTTGGTACTCTTTTACAAATGTGAACTTCCTTTTAAATAATGACAACGTGATTCATTTGTTATTTCTTAATCAGCATGCCAATATGTATTTATATTGCTTTTAAATCCAGATAAGATGAATTTTAATATTTTTCATAAAATATAAATCATGTCATTTTATTCTCTTTACTCTCATTTGAAAACATGCTTTTATACTTACTTAAACCTACCAATTTCATTATAAACTACTGACAAGTCTTCTATTTTTCCCTGGATAGGAATTTGGAGTGCCTAAACCTTCTGCTGAATACTGGTGCAGACTTCAACAAAAAGGACAAATTTGGGAGGTAGGGTGTGATAGAGTTCCTCTATAGAGCCTAATTAATGATATTTACTTAATGACCTGCTTGACCCAACTGGCTTCTGAGAATTAACAATTCAGCATGTTTTGCCTTGTGATCATGGTTCATTGAGAGGCCCAAGTAAATCGATGGCTTCCAAATATTCATTCTCACCCGTAATCTTCTTCCACCTGGACCCCTGCCACAGCCCCAAGCTATCAGCCACACTTTACCTTACAAGCCCCTCCAAGCCTCTTGATATTATTCCTCCTCCTCCCATAATTATAGCCATGGAAATATAAAACCCCATGGTACCTTCAAGAAATAAACTCAGAAGACCTAGAACTCAGTAGTACAGTTCTCCTTTCTCCCAAGTCACTCTTTTGTCAGAAACTATAGTGCCCATAGTTGGTTATGGAGCACTAGAAAGAGGGAAGAAATTGGTTACAAATATATATGTAATTTTTTTTTCTCCTTTCCTGTAACTTCCACATACACCTATACACATACCAACACCCCCTGAGTAAGATATGCAGGAAAGCACCTGTGAAATGACAGTCTCTGTGTAGTCAGCCAATCTTCATCCTTACGGTTTAACCCCAGGCCTCATTGTTACTAGCATTTGTGGTAGTAGTACTTAAAGCCACCATTATCTAATAAGTTACTTAGACAAAAAATTGACCCAGAGTTTGTTAAAACCATAGAAGAATGAATTGAAGGCAGTTTGAATTGGTTGGAAAAGTAGAGATGGCAGTATGAGCAAAATTATGTATGTCAAGAGTTTGAGAATTGTATCAAAGTGTATATGACAAGGAAGGGTGGGGATGTCAGAAGGAAGTGTGATTTGGTCAGTGCAGAAGTTAATAGAATTATGTATGGTGGGGAATTAGAAATGCATATAAGAAGAGAAAAAACTACAATCTGATCCCATAATTACTTTGAAGAACAGACTGCTCTCTAAAGCCTGCTAATGGAAGGAACTAATGACCTACAAAATCAAAAATCACTTTGTTTGGCTTTGGCATACAGTATCTTTATAGCCAATTAGCTTTTATAATTATACTTTAATCCATCTTCTCTTAGTTTATTCTTAGTACTTGAAGCATTCTGTACCGCAAATAGCAGAGAGGGCTTTTGAAACATATTCTGAGTTTAGAAGCTTGAAAATAATTCAGGGTTAATGGCATTTTTAAAAGTACTGTATTATACAGTTATCCAATAAACTAAATAATAATGTTTTACTGTCATTTCATTAAGTGAATGTTTTAGAAAAAAAATTATACCATGAAGACTCTGGACTAAATTTTACCTTCACCTTTCTGGGCTTTTTGGTTTTATTTTGTTGTTTTTTATTTAATGAAAAGTCATGAAATCATAGTTTTGTAATCCAGTGACAGGGACTCCTAAATTGTTCCATTTCAATATCTAGTCTTTAGAAATTAATACCTAACTCTTCTGAATAGTGAACAGTCTTCAAAACTGAGCAATTTTTGCTTGAGAAATCTGATCTTACCTTGAAGCTCTATCATATAGTTGATATAACTGAGCATTCTTTTTAATGTTCCTATATTTCTCTTACCTTTTATTCCCTACTAAGATATGAACATAAACTGCTACTCTGTACTGTGGAACATTTTTTCATCAGTTTATATAATGTTTTATTGAATTATATAATGATAATAACCACTACAATGGGAATAAACACTTTAGAATCAAATAGGACTGATTCTCCATAAATAATAACTAATAACTGTTTGTTAGTATAGGATAAGCTTTGTTAAAAGTTTTCAAGTTTCTGACCAGAATACAAAAGGTATCTGTATTTCCCTCAAAACGCTGGAATTGTACTATCTGTCTACATGCAATCATTTAACTGTGTTTGTGATTTCCTATTTTCAGAGGTTCTCTGCCACCTTACTTTTCTCCTTGCTTTCTGTCTAGACCTTCAAAAGACTTAGTTTACAGCAGAAATCAATCTCGAGTATAAATACAGTATTTGTAACTGTGAAGAGTCAAGTATACTCCTGTATACTCCTCTATGTCTTTTCTTTTTCTTTTTCTTACATTAACTTGGGTACAAAAGATCCCCACTGCACTATGCTGCTGCCAACTGCAATTACCAGTGCCTGTTTGCTCTTGTGGGATCAGGAGCAAGTGTGAATGACCTTGATGAAAGAGGATGCACACCCCTGCACTATGCAGCTACATCAGACACAGATGGCAAGTAAGTATCATGTGGTGAGAATGAAGGATTGTCATTCCTATAAACCAGCATCTTCCATATGGATGGCTATTTTTATTGCAAATTTATATTTTCTGTTTGTACTTTTTGTTGTTGATTATCTTTCTCTAAGTCTCATAAATTAATTTCATAATTATTCGTAAATCAAAGTTATTCCTATCTATTTCCATTCAACAACTTTCCTGTTGACTGATCAGGTAGAAGAAAGATAAAGGTCTCTCATTCTCCTTGCCAAAAGCATATCTTAATATCACCTCCAATTTTTTTCCATCTGACTTAAAGGCAGCAGCCTTGCTTATAGGGACAGAGAAAGAAAGAGAAAGAGATACATGCTATCAGAAGACTGGACAGAGATTGGAATATCAGTATCCTTCAGACATAGTTCATATTTGCAAGGGATCTTTGTAAATTGGTATCCAAAAAGGGAGTAATTGAGCTGGCAGAATCTGGCATGTAATTGGTAGTAAATATTGCTTAAATAAGTAAACTGGATAACAGAGTAAGTAAATGTTGGCCAAGAATGACTAAATGAGAACAAAAATGAGAGATGTATAAGTTCATAATTAATATTCACCTAAAGTTGATCAGACCCATTTATAGTGCCTTAACGTATATTGCCTTCTTAAAAGAAAATAAACTCGTTGGAGACAGAGAAGAGATCTTCAGTGTCTGTGGTCAGTAAAGAGTGAAAATACCCTTAGGAAAAACAAATAATGATTTCTGGGGAAAGATTTTATAAAATATACTTCAAGGAAATTGCAATTAAGATAGAACTATTTGTTTGTCTTTAATATTTACTTTTGCCCTCAAAATAAAAAGCATAATACAGTACCTCAACATATATTGCATTCTTGAAAGAAAATAAACTCATTGGAGACAGAGAAGAGATTTGCAGTGTCTGTGATATGTAACACTTTGTTGTGTTGGATTATTTGCTAAAATTCTAATGTTGACGGCACTAGTAAAATGTATTTTCTGTTGTTGGTAGGAATATATCACTTTATATAATTTCATATATACCAGGAGATTTAGATAAAGATAGAGTTTGGGAGAAGCTAAATTATTTGAAGTATGTTTTTTAAAAAGTCTGTGATATAAGAGTTTATAAATCAGAAAATATTTTTATAAACTTGGGTAAGTAGATTATCTTCTGATTTATAAATTTTGTAAATTCAGGATTTTATTTCTAGATTGTTTTACTTAAATAGGTTATACCTAAATGACTATTGTCACCATTGATAGTCTTTTATCACTATTCCCACAGGCTAGATATTGGGTGTTGCCCAGCATGATCTACATAAACTTCACTGAGAGATCTCTTTCACTCACACTCACACCCACACACAATCCTATGGGTGGTCTGCCCTTAGACAATTACATTAAATGTGAATTCTTATGCAAAAACAAAAGAATAACAATGTTCAACCCATACTGTTTGAGATTTGTGGTTTTCTTTTAAGCCAGTCTACTTTTTCTATTGACGTATACTGGTACTAAAGTGAATCATATCCTTAGTTTTCTCACTTAATATAACGTTTTGAGCAATAAGTTAGTGATATTTATTGTTTAAACACTTAATTCTCAGTATTTACACCAAGCAGCCTGATGTACTAGATAGAACATGAGCTTTGGGATCCGAAAGACCCAGTTAAATTTGGGGGTGTCCATATTATACCTCTTTGAGCCTGAGCAAGTAATTGCTAAGCAAAAACTGCTTTATCTATAAAATTAGAATGAAACCTACTTCTTAGAATTGTGAAGAACACTAAATGAGATTACTTATATAAAGAATCTAACACTGTTTCTTGGAGCCTCTGTTTCTTATCTTTAAAGTATCAGTATCCCAGAAGTCCTGTCTAATGCCATCATTTATTAACTCAGTGATGTGTTCCCTGGGAACCTTATGGAAGCTATAAGCCCCAGTAATTATTTTAGGATACCATCCTTTCAATAAGTGATTATTTCAGAGGCTTAAATAGCATTAAACATTGATTTATTTTTCTAAATTCCAAGGATTTAATCCCAGGAATAGGTTGGGTAATAAGAGAATCTGACATAATGAATTCATACTTTTCCAAAGTAAGAGTGAAATGTTTTCTAAATGAGGAAATAAGCTCCCCATGGCTTCAAATTGCTATTATTCAGTAATGTGTGTTTGTGAGGTTTTTTTTTTTTTTTTTCATGATTGTTTACTAATTTCCTGTGAGCATCCCAAGGGAAAGTTGTTTGTATTTTGGAATGTGTCCCTCACAGTCTAAACAAAGTTAAAAACCTAATATATGACTTTCTGTGACCTTTTCTATATTCATATAATTATATGTAAATGCTTATGATATATGTCACTGAGATCTACCTTTTTTGGTAATAGTTGGCATTTTTCACAAAAATGGGATTGTATTTTGACTTCTAATAGCGTTGTTTATTTTTGTCTGTTTTGAACTTTATATAAATGGAATCATAAAGTTTAGAAGTTTTATAATCCTTTGATATGTTCCTAAGTATTTGATATTTTTATTGCCAGAATAAATGATCTTTAAATTTTTGTTTGTTGTGGTATAGAGAAATATATTTAACTTTTGTATAATACTTTATATTCAGCAGCCTTGTTAAACTGATTTTGTCTAGGTATAAAATACAACATTGAGATTGATACTGGCTCTGCTACTTATGGGACCTGGGGTGAGCTACTTAACCTCTCAGTGCCTGGTTTTCCTGTGAAATGGGAATAATAGTCTGGTCTAAAATCATATGGCCTATGACGTATAAAATATCTGAGTTGCTTAAAATAGTATCTGACACACAATCTCCTGTAAGGAATAATTTTTTTAAGCCATGCCGTGTGTGTGTGTGTCTGTGTGAGAACAGACACTGTTGTACACCAAGATGGAGAGAGTGGAGGAAGGAGGGCCTCTGGTGAAAATGCCATATCCGCTGCCCTTGGCTGAGTGGTCCTGACGCATGGGTTTGAATCATTCTGAACTTGTACTAGAACCCAAAGTGTTTAAAAGTTCGTGAGTGGTAGGGGAAGAGTAGGAGAAATTTACATAGGGTGAAATGCACTCTGATTTAAATATGTGCTTAATTGGGATAAGAATACTTAATTTGATGTATTAAATGAAAATAACAATATATTAATAGTATAGTTTATTACTAACTTAGCTATTTAGCCATTAATATTCTTCCAGATTTTGCGTACCTAGTTTATTTTAGGGAAAAGAGAAATTTTAGAAAATCTTCCTTTCATAATTTTCTGAGTTTTCTAATATGGGCATATGCTAACGTACAGTCAGGAAAAAAAATTAGAATAGACTATCTCCCCTCCACTTTCTATGCAAATTAAAAGTAAGGTCAGGATTTTTAAGATCAAGTAATTTTGTGAGTCAGTATTTTATAAGCACCTAGGGTAGGATATCACTCTAACTCATTAACTCCTGTTGTAAAGTGTTTGGTAGTATGGTAAGAACACTGGAGAAAAGAAGGCCTGAGGTCTAAAGCTTTGCCATATTCTAGCCAAAAGATTTGGAACAAGTCATTTAATTTTTCTCAATGTCAGTAATTTTTTCATTTGTTACAGATAATGCTTATCTCACAAAGTAGTTATGAAAATTCATATTACCAGAATCTAAAACACTTAACCAGTAGAAGGAATTTTATCACTGTAAATCATCTGTTAGTATTTGTTATAGACCAATCATCTGAGTAACAGGAATGTAAAAAAATTAAATAATGTGACTGCTAAAAAAACTACTGCCTGTATAAGAGTTAAATTATTTCAGATCATCCAATGCTGTATACTTGGAACTAGTCACTGTAAATAAGGCTTTGAGACATGCTCTCCTACTTCAAAAAGTAAACATGGACTTGCCTACTTGTTTTGCTTTCCTTAAATAAATCTTTTTTTCAGTACTCATGTATCAGCAAGTTATCTTAAAATAGTTCCATGGATAGAATCTGTTTTGTATTCAGGTCTTCGTAAGGAGAACTATTTCTGTTTTATCACTTGCATCTAGACAAATTGATTAAAGATAAAAAGATATTCCCTTGAGTGAAATGTTTGGCCTGTAAAGCAATGAGACTGTCCTCCAGCCCTGCAGGTCTTTTCTCCATCCCATTGAGCATTGACTTCTGAGTTGGGCACCTAGGATAACTGTATACAGAGTTTACACAGAGCTTCAGGTGCCCTCAAGAGCTAGTTTATGAACACCAAAAAACACCAGTCTTGTTACTTTAGAGTCAGATTTGGGTTTTGGGGTTTTTTTTAATCGTAGTGATACCCAATTCACCATGTTTGTCTAATAGTTTTAGTTATACATAAATACCAAAATCCCACTTAAAAGAGTGAACATTTACTACCATTGTAATATAGATTCTGTAAGTAATTCTTAAGAAATCTAAAGAATTTAAAGCAATTTAGCATTAAAGAATAAGGGCTGGCATTGAAAAGGATGGTCCTCATATATATATATGATAGTTACTGAAAATTACATTGCTTCAGAGTTCCTTTTTATTTGTCTATATATAACTTCAGTATGCTTTTGGAAACTTGAATTTTTAACAAGAAGTATTTGATTGTAGATTTTCCTCCTAGTAGTAGAATTCATATTTAGTTAGGCATATTGCAATATTAGACAAATTATCACTGAATAATTATGGACTTATAATTTGAGCAATAGAATTTAGATTATTTAGTTGGATTCCTACATCCATATATCAAATGAATAAACAATCTATTTCACTATAAAGATGAAATGATGAAAAGTTTGAGCTGGTATCAAACTAGTTCTAAAAAACAAATCTTAATTTCTAATGTAGTACTCTTTTTTTTTTTTTGCTACAGTAACAATAAAATTTACTAAAATTATAACAACTTATGAACCGTTTAAAATTATTTTCTAGCACAGGAATGAAATGTTCTCCCATGAGAAGGTCTTTCTTATTACCTACATACCACTTTTATACTGTTTACACACTTCTCAATCTTCTAATTCATTGAATTCTGACTTTGGTTTTGTGAGATTTTTTTTTTTTTTTTTTTTTTGGCATCCTTTTTTTGAGCTTCCCGATGAGATATACTTACTTGCTATGTGTTCCAGATAGATGAGCAGTAATATTTGCCAGTGTCGAATGCTCACCACCACTAAGAGTTTAATCCTCTCAGACATTGAGTGGAGTAGGTAGTCCCATAGATAGTAACTATAAAAAACAGCCCTCAGGTAAGCTTGCTTACAGATTTTGGAGGTGTTACTTTCTTAGAATGAAGATGATTCCCTTAAGAACATTTTGTTTGTATTTTTATGATGTTTAACAGTCAGTGTCATGTAAACGACTATATAATATAGGTATATTTATGATTTTACATTACTCAGTGTAAGAAAACTCATTTTTTATTTTCAGTCTCTCTTTACCAGTGGTTAAAATGGAGGATTTAGAATTTTGAATATGTTGTTACTATATATAGGTGCCTGGAATACTTACTAAGAAATGATGCAAATCCAGGGATCCGGGACAAGCAAGGATACAATGCAGTACATTATTCAGCTGCTTATGGCCACCGTCTATGTCTTCAGCTGGTAAGATTCCTGAATTCTTGTGGGAGGATTAATATGAGTTTATATTCTAATAATTTAATTAAAATGAGATTAAACAAATCAATCTAACAGTGTGCTTTTTAACATTTTTAGAATCTGTATACCTTTCAAATTCATACTTGCCTCAGTAAGATATCTCATTCTCTTCTCTTTCAAAAAGAAAGGAGAAAAGAGAAAATTAAATCTCTGGAGAGGGCTACTTATGTCCTTCTCTTATATTTACCTCATGTCTATATAGCATTAACTCCTCTTCCCCTCTAAATAAACGTTTCCCAGAAATTTCTAAAGAAATGTAACCATGTCTTACATCAGAAATAAATGTCCTTGTGAGAGGAATGTTCCCCCAATACATTTAGTGAATTCTGAAAGGCCCATTATTTTATCAGTCTCTCCTGATAAGAGAGACTTTACTTCTGCAAAGGAACTTTTTGTTTCAACTTTAATCTCATTCTTGAACATACACCCCACTTTGCCAAACCAGAGGGAAAATGGGGACAAGTTAAAAGATTCTCAAGTATGTAACAGATGCTTCAAGTTAAAAGTTTTTTTATTTAGACTTACCTTATAAATTAAATTAAACATTCCTTCTCTTCGAGGGGAAATAAAATTCAAGGAGAGTGCATATAAAAGAAATAAAAAAGAGGTTGGCATGTTTGGCATGTTGAATATAGCATTTATAATCCTGCTACAGAAATAACAAATATTTCCTTAGATGATTATGGTATTTTTAAATTTTTGGGACTCATGTATATAGGTTTATGGTCTGTGATATTATATATTGGTTATTTAATTTTGAAGGCAGAGGAAATACAGATTTAGAATAGAATTTAACAAAGTCCAGTGTAAATAGGATCCCATAGTTAACATTTACCTTTTTTATATATGTGACTACTTCCTAAACTATTTCAATTTTAAATTTTATTTCAGATTGCAAGTGAAACTCCTTTAGATGTTGTAAGTATCAGACACCAACACGCACACGCTACTATTTGTACTGTCCTAATTATTTTCTTTCACTAGAGCTGAAGCCTGTTTTTCACATTCCTGGGAACAAAGATAGTGACAGAAATCGTGTATGCAGAGGGTGGGGAGGTTCTTATTTGATGGTAATTAAATAACATTTCCTCAAGCTCTTAGTTTATAGCCCTCCCTCAAAACTCTTAGTCTGTGGTCTTCACCACCTTTCAGGATGATCTGTTCTATAAGCTTGCTGAATTTAGTTTTCATAATATGATGGTGTGCAATTTTTAAATTAATAGTCAAGTATCAGTGTATACTCTAAAATGGATTTTAACCTAGAGGAAAGGGAGTGGGAATAACTGCTATACTATACGTAAAAGTATCATTTCTAACATTTAAAATGCTTTTCTTTCTCAGTTAATGGAAACCTCGGGAACAGACATGCTGAGTGATTCAGACAATAGAGCAACAATAAGCCCTTTACACTTGGCTGTGAGTACTGACTTCACAGCCAACTTGTTGGCTGGTTCACTGAAAATATATCTGTTTGTGTTGACTCAAACTAGCAAACTAGTACCCAGAACTTTTGATCTATGTAATGATGATCATGGAATTAAAACTTTTAGAACTTTCTTCAGAGAATTCTTGAATGCACTTTTATGTTTTATTTTGTTTTTGTTTGTTTTTCTGGGCTTCCCCCCAAGGCCTGCCTATTCTAAGGGAGAGACTATACCTGTGACGTGAATCTTAAAATGCACTGCCATTTAAAAACAAACAAAGAAAAAAAATTAAAATAAAAAAATTAAAAAGATGCATTGCCATAGTGGAATAGTTTCTGACTTGCTAAGCACATAGTATAAGAACTATAATTTCTATAATATTTCTACAACTTTTTTCTTATTTTGTGATCTTGGTGTGCTAACTAGGTAGATGTGTATTGTTCACTGGTCCTTCAGTTTTTCATGTTATAGGACTTGGCTACATGATCTACATGTCCCTTCTAGCTTAAGACACTTCTGAATTTCTCCTCTTACTGTCAGTCACTGAGAAGAGGAAGTTAAGAGAGAGCATGACAGTCCATTACAGCAAATATGGTAATGAATTACCTTAGGAAATTTCAAGCAGAAGGAAGAACTTATTTTTGAAACAAAGCATGTTACAGTTGGAGGAGGGGGCAGCTTTGAAAATCAGGAAACTTAGGTATTGTCACTAGCTATTCATGTGACCTGATTTTAAGTACAGTAAAATGCTCATAGGGCTGTATACTAAGTTAATATGGATCACTACAAGTTCAGTGATCCATTTAATTTTTCATCTCATAGACTGTTATTTTTTTATCTTAATATTCTCTTTGCATATTTTCTACCAGACACATGTACATTGACTTTTCTGCTTTCTCTTTCTGCCGCTGTCTTCCCACTAGTACTTCCTAACATGTTCTAAATAATTAAGAAGGCATGCTGAAGCTTCCTGCTTCCTTGCCCTTTGGGCCTTTGGAAATATTATCTACTCTCCCAGGCTTGCATAACAAATAAGTCATCTAAAAGAACAGAGACAGCCGTTGACTGTTGGTTGCAAGAAATGATGTCTGAGCAGATGACTGGGCAATTCTTATATCATCATCATCATTTTTTAAATCATAGCATTATCATTACTGAGCACTTCCTAGATGCCAGACTAATCTCTCTGCCAAGTTTTTGACTAGGTTATAGTTTTTTAACTAGTTTTTTACTTCATGGCTATTGTGAACAGTGCTGCTATGAAGGTAAGTGTGCCGAATAGTGCTTTTTAGCTGAAATGGAAGCAATTTCATAATTTAATAATTAGGCTCAATCAAATGCAATTATACCACCACTTTTGCATTTTGTGTCTATTTCTAGGAGATTTTCAGAAATTAACTTGAAGTGATTTTTTTGTTTCCAAACTCTTCCAATCCAGGACAGCTTGGTGCAGTGAAAACACACTGGCTTAAGGCTTAAGGAAACTAATCTTGCTTCCTGTCTTGGTACATAGTAGGCATAGGAGTTCCTTGTCTCACTCATATGCAAGGACGTCATGAGGGGAAGACCCCGTGGCAAATCTACATGACTCCTAGTCATCTTGATTTTTTCTCTTCTTTTTCTATCTTCTGCATATAGTGTATTTCTCAAAGTTCATTTTTTTAGTAGCATGATTTCACTGACCTGGTATAGAGGAACAAGATTAGGTGTGATCATAGGACAGTAGGGTTCAATGGTCTTTTTTCACTTCCATCTTTGAGATAGTCAAGCTTATTGGTAGTCACAACCGCCGAAGAGATCAGTAAGGCCTAGGGCAACTTTACTTCTTGCTGTTAGCTTTGACATTTTCCACAAGAAATGGCTTTCCGGTCCTTCAATGCATTGTGGGGCCTTCATCTAGCTAAGTATCTTTTTTCAGATTAGGAGCAAGTGAGATTTGGTTCAAGTATGGTAGAATTTTACATTTTTCAATTCCCAGTGAAAAGTTCAGATGTGATAATTTAGCAGCCTGCTAAACTATAGGTCTAAATGGTTATCAGAAAATGACTTGTGAAAGCCCCTTATTTATAAAGTGGCAGTATGAGTGAACTAGAGAGAACATTCCTTTCTTTGCTGGTACTGTGCCTTGTTATTGCTTTATGTCCTACTCAGCATGTAATCTAGTGAGAAAAATAGATGTTCAGTTGACATGTTGATTTTTTTGAAATTAATTATCTGAAAAGCCCTTTTATCAGACTGTATAAAGAAGGGGGCTTCTGTCTGACAAATTGTTAAATCTCTTTGCTCTTTGTATCTCTAGGACAATGTCTGGCTCATGGCAGTTATTCAGGCAGGACTCAGTTTTAAGTATTTTTAATGCTAAAAGAAATGTTTACTTTTGAAATGGCATATTACAGGATAGAGATAGTCATTTTAATTTGAGAAATCAAAAAACTCAAGTTCTAGCTTAACTTCAGTTGCTGGCTGTCTCTATAATTTAAGTATAGTAAAATTTTATCAGGGAGTTCTAATGGAGCACTGAACTGTGATTGAAAACACAGGCTTTGGAATCATAGACTTAGAATGAAACCTTTAGTTGAATTTGTGTCACATATTCATTGAATGTCTGCCATGAACCAGACATTGTACACTCATGAAAAGATCACATGTCATTTAAACTTTTATTATTTGCAGAATACCAGCTCCTTAACGTTCTGAATTCTCAGTACGGAAATTTTAGATTATATCAAATATAATATAAAGACGAATTTGTTCAATTCCTTTATGTTTTCTAAGTTATCTGGGAAGTCAATCTAAATAAGTATTTTTTTAATTTACATTTTTATTTATTCCTAGGCCTATCATGGTCACCATCAAGCACTGGAAGTGTTGGTACAGTCTTTGTTAGATCTTGATGTGAGAAATAATAGTGGAAGAACACCCTTAGATCTTGCAGCATTTAAGGGCCATGTTGAGTGTGTGGATGTACTCATTAATCAGGGAGCCTCAATCTTAGTAAAAGATTATATTTTGAAGAGAACACCTATACATGCGGCAGGTATGTCAAGTATTATGCATGATTTTACTTACCACTTTCCATCTAATACCCTTCTTTTTCAATTTCAATTCTTTTTCAGTTGGACTCTTCTGTTTTGTCTTTTTGTCCCTTTCTCCCCCCTAGTACTTTCTACCATATTCTAAATGGTAAAATCATTATTTACCTTAGAAATTGGATTTATGTAGGTCTGGCTTCTGAAGTACTTTATCAGCAAAATAATGCAATATTTTTTATTTCTTTTTGATGGAAGTTTTTTTAGATAGGTGCGTGCTTTCGTATAAAAATTAATGAACATTTTGACTAACTGTACCAGGGTACTGCATTAAATTTTTTTTTTTAACAAGAGTTATAAAGCGCTGACTTTATTCAAGAACTACTCCATGATACGGTTTTATGATGTTGCAAAAGTGTGAAAATGCAAAAGCATGTAACCATGTCATTGTGATGACTTGGTACCATCTGTGTATAGCTAGCAATACAGATTCACAACTCTCTACGTGAATTACTACAAGACAGTGTTCATGTTAAATAACCAAAGAGGTACATTTGATGAAATCTTAGCCCAGTATTTTTCTCATCCCCAATAGGCCATCTTTATATGATTAGATTCATTTCACTTAGGCCGTTTTTACAGAGCGATTTTTAAGGACATAGTTGAATATAGGTCTTGCACTTTGCTTCTAGTTTTTTGGGAAACTTGCATTTTAGAAGACTATAGATAAGTAACACCCACTGTTACTCCAGAACAGCCTTTTAGAAACTGTCAGATATTCAAGCAGGGCTCAAAGACAATTTTAATAATGGATTAAAACTCCTAATAAATATATGAATACAAACTGCTGTATGGTAAAAATAAGAGGTCCAAATGGTATCATTTTGTATTCTGAAAAAGAGTAAGGTTATATATCATTATGGAACTTGAAAATTTTTAAGTACAAATCATTTGCAGAGTTAATTAAAGCTCTCATGGAGTGTTCATATTCTTAATAGATGAATATTGATTCAAGACACTTACCGTCCCTCAGAACGGGCTAACCGATGCCATATGCTCTGTAAGTCCTAGCCACTTGAAGAGCTACAGGTTACTGTTAACGCCTGCCTAGTCGATAGAAGCAAGCCTTATTTCTATAGATGTCTTTCAAATTTGGAGATCTACTAGGGAGCATCTTACTAGTAAGTAATGAAAAGGACACTGAGAATTTTTTTTTTTGGAAGCAAATCGGTATTATAGTATGCAACTGAAAGATGGCTTAAGTGACAGAGATGTAGTCTCTCACATTAAATGTGAGAGATAGAGTTGATTCAAGGGTGATTGATTCAGCAATGGCGTCAGAACTCTGAAAGATTCTCGTCTTTGCACTCATGTCACAGAATGGCTGCCGCTGCTCTACAGGATTAAATATGAAATGAGGAAAAAAGTAGGACTTTGCATTATCAGGGATAAAACTATTTCCCAGAAGCCCTCCAGACTTCTTGATATCTCAGTGGTCAAAACTGGGCCAGTGCTCATTTTGAGACCAATCACTGGCAAAGAAGAATGGAGATGTGATTGGCTTCATCTAATCATGATTTCTTCCCTTGGTGGAGCAGGCCACCCTCCCTGACCACATTGTTACCACAAGAGAACTAAGTAAAATTAGCATTTTATTAGCAGTGCAGATGATGAGGCATGGCTATGGCTGTGATTTACCATGAGAGATTCGTATCTTGGTTGGTTTAATCAACAACAGCAATAGAAACCTTTTTTTTATCTGTATATATTTTTCTTTCTTTCCTATTAAATTCAATAACGCTATCTCAAAATTATATGTAGGAAATGTACTCTAAGATGGACATTTTCTATTATATATATTACTGAGATTTTTAAATATCACTTTACAGCAACAAATGGTCATTCAGAATGCTTACGACTACTAATAGGAAATGCAGAACCACAGAATGCTGTAGATATTCAAGATGGAAATGGACAGTAAGTCTTAATAATTTTTAAATTATTTTTAGGATATTTGTTAATCTTTATGCTTTTGCCCCTATTATAGTAAGTCTGTCATATTATTTAACTGAGTAACATCAAATATAATTTTTTAAAATTTAAGTGTACTTTAAGTTGCATCACAAATAGGCATGTTTAGAAAACAGGCCACCATAGTGACTAATTATTTTTCATGGAGCAGAGTCGTAAATGATAACACTGAATCTATTCCTATTGTTGCTCAGGACTCCTCTGATGCTGTCTGTTCTCAACGGGCACACAGACTGTGTTTATTCACTGCTAAACAAAGGAGCAAATGTAGATGCCAAAGATAGATGGGGAAGGACAGCATTGCATAGAGGGGTAAGCAAAAATATTCCCACTTCCTTTCAAAAAGTTTTTATGACCTCATTTTACCTAAAACAACTAGGCTATTTTATTTTTCTTCATTAAATTTTACCAAATAATCTTTGCCATTTCTTTCAGTATCTTAGTTTTTGAATGCTAATCTTAATCAACTACAAAACACAACTTAATTCTAGGAACAGAATTGTAAACCATAAAACCTTAGGGGATTGTAAACCATAAAACCTTGAGTAGAGTTAACGTCAGTTTACTTTTTTATATTACCAAAACTATTTTCTTACACATTTTTGTCTTTTTCACCTTTGAAATATCATTATTTCCATTGAATTATAAGTTCCTCTATTCCTGTTTTTCATACTACTTATATTTTGACAAAGTTACTGCCTTAACTGAATCTTAAAGTCACTTCCAATAAAACCACTGAATTACTCAAAAATGATAAATGCTTTGATTGACAAACGGATATAGGGAATATGGACTTTAAAAGTTTTGAATTGGCTATAATTGATATGTAGTGCCCAACATAATATATTCAACTACATTCAAATAATTTTTCTTCCAGGCAGTTACAGGCCATGAAGAATGTGTAGATGCATTACTTCAACATGGTGCTAAGTGCTTATTTCGGGATAGCAGGGGCCGGACACCTATACACTTGTCAGCTGCCTGTGGACACATTGGTGTTCTTGGAGCCCTTTTGCAGTCAGCAGCATCTGTGGATGCAAATCCAGCCATAACAGACAATCATGGATATACAGCACTTCACTGGGCTTGCTATAACGGTTAAGTATACAGATACAAATTTACATTAAATGCCTATTATGTACCAAGCAGGGACAACTAACTACAACACATTTCGATATGCATAAGAATGACATATTTATAAAGCAGACTTAAAGTTCAAAATTAGTAGGAAGCCTGGGAATAATCTACTGTGTAGTCACAGCTTACTTCTATTCCTTGTTGTGCTAAAGCTGACTCTGGCTGTCAAAGATGTTTTCAGAAAAGCTATCACTAAATTTGAAATTTTTCTTAGACCTTTGCTTAAACAATTTTGTGTTTTAAGTTACTTTTATAACATTGCCAATGTCTTTTATATAGTATGCTTGTATTTTGATTATATTCTTTTACTTTCTGAGTGTACTTGTTTTAGGAGAAAAGTGACAAAGGTAGAAGAAACAATGAAAAGGCATCATATTCTAAACCAAAATCTGTATATATTTTCTAAACATATTGCAAGATAAGATTCTTATGTCAACAGTAACATGTACGCTCAACATTTTAAGGGAATAAAATCCTGTCAGACTATAGAAATAGAAACTTCAGAAACTTAGAAACTTTCATGGTTAAGTTAACTTTGCTGCATGATTAAAACAGACTAACTTTTAGCTTCTCAGAGGCTCACAGTCACAGTCCTTTTACAAGTTGGCTCATTAAAAGTTCTCAGAGAAGTATAAAGCTAAAGTATAGATGTTTAAAATGGACTTTGGCTTATGAGTTTCACTAATTAAAATAATTTAAGTAGCGAAGAATGTTGAGATGTATTAATTTTTTCCTGTGGAGGACCAAGATTTGGTCATCTTAGAAAACACATACGTTATGTACAGTATAAACATCAGTCCTGTCAAAATTTCGGCTTAGGGTTTTAGGGACATGAAGGGTATTTTTGTTTTGAATTTCAGTGTAGCATTCATAGTAAAGTTAGTTGTGAGAGTAAATCTATAAAACTAGTTCACAATTCTAATAACTTTCCCTCAAAAGGTAGAGAAAATATAAATTACCTCTTTATATAAATATCTACTGGCTTAAAATAAGTGTAATATCTGTTCTAAAATTCACCTGATTGCCTTAACTTACTGGAAGTTGAAGTTTCTACCTTTCTATAATATATTGTTTCGTTGTTCTTTCACTGGGAACCATTTTGACAAATAATGTTGATTTATGATGAAAAAGGAAAAATCTGAATCTTGCAAAATTAAAGTTTAAGTGTTTTCATAAGTACTTTCTAGATATAATATTTTGATTTTCATATTAATTCTTATGTGAGAGTTCTGTTCTTTTGCTGAGGTTTTGGTCTCTTCCTAAGGACTGCTCTGTGATTACTATTAGTTATCCTTCAATTCCGAATACTGATGGCACCATAAGAAATTGAATAGTTAAACGAATTGCTAATTCAAAAATTTAGCTTTTTACTGCCTCAGATCCTTAGCCAGAACAGTCTTGAAAACTATAAAACCTTTGGATTTTAACTTCTCTTTTCTCTTTTCAATTCACTAAAGTTAGTATTAAATGAGTAGTGAAGTGGCAAAAGATTAGTCCTAAGTCAAAAAGGATACTATATTTTGCCACTGAAATTTGGTTTGTTTTTAAAATGTAGCTTGACATTTTAAAAACAAATGAAAATATAATAGAAAAACATCCACAGATATGAATTTTGTTTATTTGAGAAATCAGTGAGATAAAACTATCTTTTTAATTTCTTATTATGAGATTGGTTAACAAAATCCACAAGTTTCCAGTGTATAATTCAACAGTAAGGCATATATATATTGCATTGTGTGTTCACCAACCACAGTTAGATTTCTTTCTGTCACCACATATTTGACCCCTTTTATCCCATCTACCTTCCCCCACCCTCTGGTAACCACTAGTCTATTGTCCATGTCCATGAATCTCTGTTTGTCCTTTTTGTTTGTTGCTTTTAGGTTTATATCCCACCTATAAGTGATGTCATGTGGTTTTCAGATTTTCTGTGTGGCTTATTTCACTTAGGATGATTATCTCGCGGTCCATCCATGCTGTCACAAATGACAGTATTTCATCTCTTACAGCTGAGTAACATTCTATTGTATTTATGTACCACATCTTCTTTATCCAATCATCTATTGAGGGACACTTTGGTTGTTTCCATGTCCTGGCCACTGTGAATAACGCTGCAATGAACATTGGTATGGAAATATCTTTTCGGATATATGTTTTCAAGTCTTTGGGGTAAATACCCAGTAGAGGGATTGCTGGATCGTATGGTAGATCAATTCTTAGTTTTTTGAGGAACCTCCATACTGTTTTCCATAGTGACTATACCAATTTGCAATCCCACCAGCAGTGTATGAGGGTTCCT